TATGCGCGATTTGCATAGGCTCCTTCGGGCCGGTGGGGACTTCGGTGGGTGTCGCCCCCCGCCTGCAAGGACCCGACGTCCACCAGTGTTTGCACGTGACCTAGATTTGCATATATGCAAAGTAGCCGCGGAGCTAAACACAAAGGGGCCCGGCGGGGGTTTGCGCGTGTGCACCCCTAATATTGCTTCAAACCCACATCGGGAGCCTGGGCACAGCGCCCGGGCACGAGCTAGTGCATCCCAGGGAGGGGGATGGTTCCAGCCAGCCCAGAATTTGTAACAGCAGCTTCACCCTAAACCTTTCCCAATACTGGAGCATGAATGCTCATCGCTTCTGCCGGTCAGTTATGCCTGCTGCTATTTTAAGTACTGGTCCTGGACAGGGCCATGAATCGCACCGGACTGAAGGGGCTGGTGGCAATGTGGGGCAGGTGCACCTCAAGCCCCCAGCCCGCACTGCCCCAGAGTGCTCCTTGGTTGGAGAAGGTCAAAGGGACAGGCCTCACCCTGGGAAAATACTGACTTTAATGGGATATATATATTTTTTTTAATTTTCCATATTCCAAATCCAATTAGCCAAAACAAATTCCAAATCCAAGAGTGAAGCCAGAACCATAAGCGGCCCTCCTACCAGCAAACATCCTCCACCCCCATCTGGGGCTTCAGATGTTCCCAAAACCTTTGTCGGGCGTCCTACTTGCAGGCCCAAACCAAGAGGCTTGGGGTTCAGATGCTCCCGAGTTTTGCTTGCCCCCAGCCGTAAGGCCCCAGAGGCAAGCCAGGCAGGAGTCTCTTATTTCCATAAAGTGGGTCTAAAGCCAAAACCTTCCCACTCCGGCAGCTAAGTGGGAGGTTTACTATACATTACCTTGGCAGGCACTATCCCCGTGGCAAGAGAGTGGTCTTCCCCAATGCGGTTAGGAAGACCACCTCCAAAGTCACAGTGTTTCCCTTGCCAGGAAACACCGTGATCACCATGAAAAACTTGATCTGAGCCTTCAAGAGGCCAAGAAGTGATAACCTAATGACTACCATGACTCTAATGGAGTATACAAGTGCTCAGGACCTAAATAAAATGAGGCCCAAAGTGACTCATGAAGAACAGACAAGATCCAGAAGGTAAATGACCAACCAGGTAGGGTCCAAGCTGAGTGAATTGGACCCTATCAGCTTGAATATTTAGAAAAGGCCCAGTTGAAGAAAACAATGAAGGTGCCTTAATGTGCCCTTTAAACAGTATGTCCTGAATATATCAAATATATATTTAAAAAATGATAAGTGACTTTCTGTCTTCTTGGTGTTGCTTATAAACATCATCTTAGCAAGGAAATAACTGAATAAGGATCCAGCTCCACAAAGTGATCTGTGTACCCAGCCCTCTGAAGTTGCTGGGAGTCCCAAAATCCAAGGCACAAATTCTATAAAAACCTTTTCAGTATGCCTATTAGCCACACACAGATGTGTTCATAATCTGGCCCTAAATGACTAGGTAGGAGAGGAACAGTGAAACGCACTAAACACAAAGTACCAATCCAATACAATTTATGTAAATAGAAGACTCTAATGTACTTCAATGGGCATCTGATCTGTCTCTAAACCAGCAAATTAAAAATGGGGGAGAGGACATGTATTTACTAGCTCCTTGCCATTACAGTAATCTTACCAGTTGTAGCTTCAGACATTTTCAGAACATATTCCGATATCTCCACACTGACATGGTGTCTTTTGGTATTTGTTTATCTAGCGATCATTAATATTTAACTATTTATTTACTGTAGGATCTCAGGTAATCCCATTTAACTCTTGAAAGTTTTCCTTTAAATGATCATTTTACAGTGGCAATCTCCTCTGAGTGCTTGTCCTTTCTTGTAATCCTAAACCACCCCCTTCTCTAGCCCACCCATGCACAGGCATGTTTTCAAACAAAACAGAACGCCGTAACTCCCATCATTTGGGGTTTTATTACTTGTTCCCTTTGAGGGAGAGAAACTTGAAACAACTTGTTTCAGAGCATATCCAATCGCTAGCAGTGACAGCAGAAGAAACCTAATAAGAAAATGGAAATATAGTGGTACTCAGCGTAAACAAATGATGTGTTTTCTACATATGAAAGGTATTAGTGGAACCAGTTGTAAAGATTATTGAGGAAGTTACCTGCTGCAATATTTATATGGTAAACATTACAACACAACCACAAGGGAAAGTTCGTACAAGTGAAAAGAAAGGCAAACTAACAGCAGCGCAAACAATACGGGCAGAGCAACGAGGCTCCACAAACACCAGCTGTTCTGTTTCATTCTGAGACTCCACATGTTTTTCTTTATGGTTTTGGGGTGGATAAAACCATTGCTTGTAAGTGACACATGAGAAAAGGTGACTAACCTGAAACACAGGACCTGACTTCGTTGCCAAAAATGTGCTAATTACAAAATAACCTTAGTTGAGTAAGGCGACATACAGAAACAGATCCAATAATAACACAGCAGAAATAAACAAGTGTATCCGACCTTAAGGTTAAACATGTCATAGAAAGATACTTATACTATGCTATAAATAAACCGATTGTTTCATAAATAATGATGTCAAAGATGAATCTAGTCATGCCCAACCTAGTTATCATGACATTTCCACCAGATTTATTTTCCCTTGGGATATAGTTGGCTCTTAATGTTTTGTTTGTACTTGCCATTGTCACACCATCATAGGTACACTATAATATCATGTCTTTTGGATGAGCCATTAAATTGGCATCCTGTTTGCAGTCACTGTAAACTCCCGTGGCACTTTTTGCAAAAGTGTAGGTATTAACCTTGCTGTCTTGTCAAATCCCTACTCAAGTCGTTACATTCTGCCTTTCTAAAATTCCTGCTCTGCTTTTAACATAGGCTGATGCTGTAACATCCTGTTTGTGCTTAAGGTGACTCTATTTCAGTGGTGAATAAACTAATCCCTTGTTTGCCAGATTTTTTGTCCATTGTTTTGCCCTGCCCATTACTAGAAAGCAAGTGGGGCCCACCAAGTCATTTTACACAGAGTCAAGCAACTTTGACTTTGACAAAGTGCAGACTTTTTCTCCTACTAAAAAGAGCTGGATTTAAAGAAGTGATGCACAGTTTGATGTTGCTATAAAATCGGTGCATGTAAAACTTTACTTATAACACTGGTTTCAATGGAGGCTTCCGATGGGGACCAGGCCTTCCTACAGGAGTCTGGCTGTAGGATTGAAGCTATCCAGGTTATTCATTAAAGCTATCAATGGTTACAAGGCTTTGCATCTTGTAACCAAATATCTGAGCTGTGCACTCGCACAGAATCGGTCAGATTTTAAATCCCAACGATGGAAATCATAGGATGATAATTTAATTATCTAAGAAATAAGTGACAAAGCGAGTTCCTCCTATCTGTCTTTTAAGTGTGATATGTAAGTAGTGCTGCGAGTACAGTACTGTAGGGAGTACAGTGGATGTTATGAAGAATAGGAGTGATCTACTTGTACAGCATGCACTCTTATAATGTGGGAAATAATTTCCACTAGGGTTGAATATCCCCCTTAGACATCAATCATAATCCCACTGAAGCCAATGAGAGCTTTGCTACTGACTTTGCATCCAAGTATTTTGGTAATAGTCAACCATATGCCAATTCATGAGAATAGGCTTAAAGGCTGACATAGGGGTAAAAACCTCAAGTCCCATCCACGCTAACAAATTTGTTGACACTGGAGAAGACACACTTTTCCCGATCATTGATGAAATATGAGAATGCATGTTCCCAGAGTAGGTAAGGCCAGGGTGCAACTGATTTAAATGACAGTTCAGGCCCAGCGAGATATAGATATTGCAAACTCAAAGCACCCTTAGCAGATGGTTGGAAGGCAGCATTATCATCAAGTCAGGCCGCACCCTGAGCCGCATGGTAAATCCTGATAGGCAGCTGCTGTGGCTGGAGTGAGCAGGGTGGGATCAGAAAGACTAATTCTCTTTGCAGAGAATTAGGATAAGAAAGCCGTGCAACCCATCTTATACTGGCCCAACCCCACCAGGCACTCAGGCTTCGCTTTCACTAGACTTTTTATGTAAAAAATGCCCCCATGACTCCTATAAGTACCCTGCATTAGTCCCTAGCAGGGGGAGTTTTTAGCACCATGTTCTCACTTGACTTGAAACTCCATGATATCATATTATACCAAGAGAGTAATTAAAGAGTCGCTTTGGAGTTGAAATAACTTCCTCTCCCACACTACTAAAAGCACCAGCGATTATTCACATCCAATGAATTTTTTTAATACAGCTTGTAATCCTTTATTTGCGCCTAACCCTGCAGGAACCAGCTTCCCCGCAAACGAGGGGCCTAATTAATGGCTGCGCCACGCTCTGCAGCTCCATCCAGCAACCCCACGCGGGTGGAGCGATGTAACACACCGTGCGGCTACGGACATGTTTTGCAGCTCCTCCAGCTGTCTACGCACGGCCTGCAAGGGAACAATTGATTGGGCCCTTGATGCTTTGGGGCGATGGCTGTCATTGCATCAGATGAGTCCTAGGGACCTCGGCTTTGATTTGCCCTCTAGCTTTTTGGCTCGCTGCAAAACAACACAGAGCAGGTGTTTCTCCCTTATTTACAAGGAGGGACCCTGGTCTCCAGGAAGACAAGGCAGTGCCCAGGTAGCTCAGGAAATGGCCTGACTGGGGCAGCAGGAAGCCCCTGGTGTAGCCAGACAGCAGCAGGGCCAGCCCCCAGCCCAAGGGCAGCACAAAAACTGCCCCCCCCCCTTCACTGTACAGTTATATGCAAGCCCCTGCACGGGAGCTAGGCCACACGCCTCAGGGGGATGCTGCAGACCTAGCCCCTTTGCAGTCCAGGACCTTCAAGGACGGGTGGCAATGGGGAGGGAGCAGCGTGAGCAGCCACCTGCAGGAAAAAGCGAACGAACAGCAAGGGACGTATCTTGGCCCGCGCGAGCCGCCGTAGAACGCTAAACAAGGAAATGAATGGTAGGGGTGGAGTGGTGCACGCTGGGACTACGGGAGCCGGCGAGGCCTAGCGTTCGGGAGGCGGGAAGAGTTCCGGAAGCGGCGCGGGATGACCGCGTCACTTCCTAATAGCGGCGCCGGGAGTGGGGGAGCAACATGCCCAAGTGAGTGAGGCCGGGCCGAGCCCGGGGGGGGGCCGCAGCCGGAGGCTCCTCGGGGCCCGCGCTCCCGCTTGGTGCAGGCGGGTGAATCTTCTGGGAGAGGCCCCACCACCGCCGGCAGCCTAGGGGGGAAGCGGGGGGACGTGCACTTCATAGACGAGCTCGATCGCATGCTGATAGGGACACGCATAGAAAACCTCTCGCCCCCTTTCTGTGTGTTGACCCATCAGTAACTGATCGAGACGTGTGTAATCTCACACCGCTCTGAAGTACCGGTGGTCACTAATCATCTTCCTAACTTTTAACGTGTTGTTTTGGGTCCCCCCCGCCCCCAATCCCTCTCTTTAGGTTTTATTGCGACTACTGCGATACCTACCTCACCCATGACTCCGTAAGTACCATGTTCTTCAGCGCTGTACCTTTCGAGTTCAGCACAACCTGTGGTTTTTTCACACAGGGGGAGCTGGCAACCTGTTTAGCTCGCAGCGGGCTGTGAAAGATTTTTTTCAGAGCAAGTGGATCAGCTGGGTGCTGCAGGTTTTCCTTCGAAGGGTGCCTCCGCTGAGGTGGAGCACATCCGGGGTCCTACAAGCTGATCAGGGACATTATGCCCTTTGAAATAAAAGCAGCAGAGAGCAGTTGATGCATCTCAACAGTTCTGCGCAGCTCTGCTGCAGCTATATACGCCCTGGTTGAATTTGCAAGCCTGCCCTCTTTGCAGAAGGGGGTCGGCAACTAGCCCTGCAAAGGCTGGTTTCTGCTGTATCTGTTCTAGAGGCAACGGTTTGTTTCAGATTTTTCCTCCTGTGAAAAATGGCACTGGATATAATGGCAGGGGTTCCTAACCTTTCTACGCTGAGGACCGGAAGTGACCGCGGACCGGTAAACTGTGGACCAGTAGGCATCGGTATATCACGGGCAGGCAGCCAACCTTTCTTTATATGCAGTATAAAGAAGGGTTGGCTGCTAGTCCGCAGTTTGCTGGTCCACGGTCACTTCCAGTCTGCGGCAGCCAACCCTCCTGTGGACCGGCAACCAACCCTTTGTGGTCCAATACTGGGCCAGGGCCCAGTGGTTGGGAACCTCTGATAATAACGGTTTTTAGGATATTTGGGGGGATAATGTACAAGAAAATATAATGAGCAAAAACATACTATTTCATTTGAAGGGTGGGAATACCTGTCCCTGAGACCAGTAATTCTGATTACTTAAATTGAAGACTTAGCAGAAACCTTCTGGGGTCATCAAACCCAGACTTTTTGCTATTGCAGGTAATCGGGTAGCTCAGAATATGGGTGTGTGGGGTTTTGGTTTTGTATGGGGGTTTTTTTATGAAGAACAGCTGTGAAAAAGTATACATGGATAAAATGTTTTCCGTGTGATTTAGTGTGGCAGCACTTCCTAGGGAAAGCTATTGTTTTGGTAAATAAACTTGAACAAACCTGTGACAACCTCTGGTTCCACCTCAGAAACAAGGAATCTCTATTCTGGTTTGGAACAGATCTGTAAATAAATTGGTTTATTCTCTAGAATAGTGCTTCCCAAACTTTTCTCAGCATGGCCTCATTTCCGCAGACCCCTCTCTTCCTCCTCCCCACCCGTAAACCAATCTGCTGATGTTATGACCCCAATTGGGGTTGTGACCCACAGTTTGGGAGAACAGCTATTCTAGAATGTTCATCTTAATAGGAAAAAGGTACTTAAAAGGTGAGTGTTAATGGAAACAAATATATAGGAATTTTAAAACTTTACGGGACTCATCTGACCTGTTTCTTGGAGTGGCTAAAGCTGTCTCAGTGCCATGGAAGTTAATTCTCTTTAATTGCTGTTTAGTGACCACATGGGGGACTATTACATCTATCGCAAATGCAAAGCTTTACTTCATACTTAAGTCTAAACATGTATGGTTTTTTTTAAAACAGCTATTGAATGATACCAGTGTTATGGCTGCAGATGCTGTAGTTAATATTTAGTGTTATGTGTTCTGGTTTTTGTATACACAAGGTAAGGATTTGTCATGTTTGTTTAGTGCTCGGATAACAATATCTTTTGTCTTTTGCAGCCGTCTGTAAGAAAAACCCACTGTAGTGGCCGTAAACACAAAGAGAATGTGAAAGATTACTATCAAAAATGGATGGAAGAACAAGCTCAGAGCCTGATAGATAAAACAAGTAAGACAAATGATCTCATTAACTGTACTGTTTCATGGAACAGTTCCCTTCCTGCCTCTGGCGTCCTTGCATCAGCTAGCAATACATTAAAGTAGGCATTGGCAATCTAGGGATTGAATCTGGTCTGCAAAGAGATTACCTCCAGCCCACAGTGGCAAGGTGGTGGTTGCATTCATTCTGATGATCCTATTTGCCATGTCCAGCGTTTCTGCTCTGTGTTGAGGGGGTCCTCTGATGTTCTACAGTTATAGCCAGGTTGCAAGAAGCAGCTCACTGTTCTTAAAGGTTGCCAGTCTTTGCTTTAGAATACAGATTTACTGTGGCAGACAGCGGCAACTTCAAACACTCAGCACTGTTCTGTCAAATGGAAACAGTGTTACTCTATTTGCATGGCTTTGTGGGTGAGCTAATTGCCACTTTTTTTTCAGTATTACTAATTAGCCTGATTGCAGTGCCACAGAAGTAGATGGTAGTACTTCCATTTCAGGATGTAGCTTACACGGAGCAATGTGGTGTGCTTGAGCACTACTGCTAGCCTGCTCTGAGTCTGTAGTGTAGACATACCCTGAATGTCCAAACTAGTTGCTAAAGAATAGGAGGTAATTTGGAACCTTGTTCTGTCATTGCTTCAAGTGTGGGGCTTTCTTGGAAATTGATGGGCATTTCATGCACCATGTGGCTGTAACACTGGGCTCTCAGATTGAGGATCTTATCCAGTTATTGGTTTTAAGAGGTAAATCTCCATTATTTTAATGGAGGCTTTCTTCTGAAAGCTGCTGGCATGATATGTTAAAATAGCTATGTCCAGAGTCCTTGCTCTAAAAGAACGTCCTAAATAAATAACTGATAATTCTTACTGGTCTGCAGGAGACTGGTGCTTTTTGAGCTCTCTCCTGGTGTGAGAGAATTGCAGCATTACTGCACTTGACTTTATCCTTCCCTTTCTTCGGATGGAAGAGATTTATTTGCTTCAGCAAACCTTTTATTACTGTTACTAATTTTCCTTGTCAACTTTGTTCTGCTTTCAGACATTTCTAACTTTTGTGGCAATTAGGTTGCTGACCAAGGGCTCAGTTCAGCAACTTGCCTAAAAATCTAAATTCAGTGTTTTCATAGATTTCATAGACATCAGGGCTGGAAGGGACCTCGGAAGATCATCGAGTCCAGCCCCCCGCCCAAAGGGCAGGAAGTCAGCTGGGGTCATAGGATCCCAGCAAGATGAGCATCCAGTTTCGTCTTGAAGGTGTTCAATGTAGGCGCTTGAACCACCTCCGGTGGCAGGCTGTTCCAGACCTTGGGGGCTCGGATTGTAAAGAAATTCTTCCTTATGTCCAGCCTGAAACGGTCTTGAAGTAGTTTGTGACCATTCGACCTCGTCATCCCTTGGGGCGCTCTGGTGAACAAACGTTCCCCCAGACGCTGGTGGTCACCCCTGATAAACTTATAGGTGGCCATCAGATCACCCCTGAGCCTGCGCTTTTTCAGGCTAAAGAGCCCCAGGGCTCTCAGCCTGTGTTCGTAGGGTCTGCTTCCCTGACCTCTGATCATGCGCGTGGCTCTTCTCTGGACTCTCTCAAGCTTCTCGACATCCTTTTTGAATTGTGGAGCCCAAAACTGGACAGAGTACTCCAGCTGCGGCCTCACTAAGGCCGAGTACAAGGGGAGAATGACGTCCTGGGATTTGCTTGAGAAGCATCTATGGATGCAAGCCAGCGTTTTGGTCGCTTTACTAGCCGCCGCATCGCATTGCAGGCTCATGTTCATCTTGTGGTCAATGATGACCCCCAAGTCTCTTTCTTCCATAGTGCTAGCCAACATAGCACTGCTGAGCCTATAACGAATGCTTTGCCCCAGAGTTTGGTGTCATCGGCAAACTTGGCCAGTCCGCTTCTGACTCCAGTGTCCACATCATTAATGAAGATGTTGAACAGTATGGGTCCAAGGACAGAGCCTTGGGGGACCCCACTGGTCACAGGACACCACGATGAGTGACTTCCATCGATTACTACCCTCTGGGTCTGACCCCGGAGCCAATTTTCCAGCCAGCGGATCGTGGAGGACCCAAGGCGACAATTGGCCAGTTTCTCCAAGAGAAATTTTGAGCATCTTCACCCAGTTAGGCACTGGTTTTTGTCCATAAGCATGAGAGTTTACCTTTTTAGCCTAATAGTAATGTAATTGCACATTACTTAAGACTAGAAGGAACCTTCTGGGGTCCTCAAACCCAGTCTTCTCGCTATTGCAGGTAATCGGGTAACTCAGAATGTGGGTGTGCGTGGTTTTGTTTTTGTTTGTTTTTTTAAGTAAATTTATTCAGCTTCTTCTAAACAGGTGGGTTTCTTTCTCCCCTTCCTCTCTCCTATTGGTAATCTATTTAGAGAATTTAATTCCTCTGGTTAGAAAGTCTTTGGGTTTCCAGCTTAATCCAGTTCATGATCTGTCTATATTGTTTTATTCTCATGCTAGCATCACCATCAGCTTTAAAATTGTAACCAGGTTTTTTTTTCTGGGGTCTTGTGCAGAGGCAGCAGTGCATTTCCTCTTCCTAATGGAAATGCCTTGTCTGCAGCCTAGAATGTAATTTGTCTTTTTCACTGCCACATTACATTGGCTCATAATCCTCCTGTGATTGACTAAAACTATTCTGGAGCTCTTTTGCTTCCACCTGATGAGACCCCAGTTGGCAGAAAAGATTCTTGTGCATTTGGATTAACAAGTTCAAGAGGTTCTGAACATGTGTAACTTAAAGTAGGATATACATATTTTGTGTTTGGGGAGTAGGAGGGAAGACTCCAGTTATGAGAACTATGCACCATTCCTGC